GAAGGAAGTTGGAATGGGCGTGTCTGGGTGTGTTGAAAGTTTAAGACAGTCTGTAGTGCATTTGATCTATAATTCATCACTGTAAGCCGAGGCTTTTAGGGGATAGCTAAAATATATTTGAGCCCAAAAGTGTAAAAAATGACATTTGATTGTTGCTGTTACATCCTCTAAGTGTGGCGAGATGATGGTGGGACTCGGGGGTTGGAGCAGCGCTTGATACGTGTGGAGCAGAGTCTCAGCGAGAAGGCAGTGCAGCTACTTCCCGTTCCATTGTTTATAGCAAGGGCACTGCAGACATACAGCCCTTGGTTCTTTTGTGAGCTGACTGAAGTCACTAGCAGAAAAAACGTTTTGGATGTGGGAATGGGGCATTTGGATTTATAAGTTCCCCAGTTCATATCAGCTAATAATGGTTTTCTGAGGCATAGAAAATGAGACTTGGTGTCCCCTCTTCCTCCTAGCTACTGTTTTTACTTGCAAAAATGATTTATTTATGGGGAAGATAATTTTGTGTTTTTTAAGGTTTTATTGACTGTTCTTAACAAGCTGGGTCCAGCACTGTTGCTGTGTAGCGAAGCTGGGGTGCTGTGTGTGGAGACAGCGCGATGACCTGTATCACGTGTTGCCGCCCTTAGAGCTTCACGTAGGACAGTCCATCCTCTCCTCGGGTGTGTTTTTTGGGCTTGTTCTGAGAGACTAGATGTTCTGTGGGGAGCAGAGGGTGGGGGAGGCCCAAGGACCTCTTGGAAACCACTTCTCAGATGAACCGGACTTTGGAATCCCTGTCCTGTGAGCGTCATGTTGAATGAGCACTTTGGAAACACAGAGCTAGAATAGGCCCTGGCATTGTGCTGTCGACCTTCCTTCTGGCCACAGTTCAAAAAGCAAAAGTGCATTTTCCTTCATAATGGGATTTCCATTAGAGATGTGCTGGTGCTCTCAGGCGAAGTGGCAAGGCTGCTGCCATGGGCCCTTTGGACAGTTAGGCCTGTAGCACTTGTCCAGCTCTCCTGGTTTGGAGATGGGCCAGCACGTTCCTGTGACTCAAACCATGTGGTCTCAAGACCCTGTGAGAACCCAGTGACTTTCAGCCACCCAGAACTTTGCAGGGGTTAAAGGACGTTCAGTGCAGACTTACCTTAATTTTTTAAAAAAATACGTGAAAACACAGAAGGATACTAATAGGAGACACTGCTGTAAGTCATAGCCTGACCTTGGCAGGATCAGCTTCAGAAACACCAAAGTCAGGTTTACCTTGCACTTGACTTGTCATGAGATTTTGGACTTTTCTGCATTCTAGTTTTAGGGGAAAAGTGCTCTTTTGTCCAGGTAAATATTTTAACCTGAGCATCATTTCCTATTCCATGTAGGTGTGTCCTTTTGCCCAGAGAAGAAGTTTGGGTTTAATTTAATCTAGCCTAAGTAAATTTCTAATTTACTGTTAGTTAGCATGGTGAGAGTTTCACTTCAAATGAGAGACGGGTGTGAGCAGTGGGGAGTGGAAGGCTTCCCTGGGTCTTGATTTATGGGCACGTTGTTACGGTTCATGGTCACAGGGCCCTTTCCCCTCATAAAGCAGGGAAGTGTGGTTTGTACTGTGGAAGCCCTGGTGAAGCAGCACCTGAGGAAGGTCAGGAAGGTTCCTCACGGCATATTGGCATCTGGGGGCTTGGGGTGGTTAGAGCCAGGCCAGTCTAGGGGAGTTGGGTACCAGCCAGGACATTCTGCAGCAGTAGACAGAGCTTCACTGTGGCAGTTAAATGTTTTCCTGTTTAGAGGGCCTTATCAGTTAGCTGACTCAGTATGGTTTTTCAGCATCACAGTCATGAGTTTCAGTGCAGGCGTTTTGAGGACCAACATTTCAGATAACACATCACTAGTAACACACTCTTCTGCCTTCTCAGAATGTTGTCCAGTTGTTTGATGTCATGAGGAGGTGTGATAGAACAGGGATGACGTTGGAAGAGTGAGAGAGCAACTGCGTGCTGAAAATTCTCTTCACACTGGGTAAGAATACACTTTTCACCTAACAGTTGGACGTCCCAGTGATAAGTGGGGGATACAGTAGGAAGTCTGCTTGTATTCCTTGAGCTAAGCATGCCTTGCCCAAAGCACTCAGAAATAACTAGTTGATTCCTATATGTCACCGTGACACAGACACCAAGAGTTCTTGGGGTGTCCAGCCATGCTTCCTCTCCTATGAAAGTAGGTTTGGACATGTATTCAGGTACTGGGAATTTGAAGCCTTTATGATTATACTGTAACTTTCATTTTGCAAGTTTTAAGGTTCTTTTCTAGATTCCTTTAATTTGTAATTTTGTTATAGAGGTAGAAGGCATAGTACTTAATTTTAGTACTTAATGCCAGTTTTATGACATTAGTCCTGTGTTCTAAGCAGCACATCTCCCCTCCCAGTGGAGGGTTTACTTGGTAACAACGGATGGCTTAGTTATCATCTTGCTGGAGTCTACAGACTGGGACATTATGCGCAGAAGTAAGAGGGAACAGACAGACCTGCCCTTTTCTTATCGCGAATTCCCAGTTCCAGTGTTTGTGCTCCATGGGGTGACACAAAATGAAGCTGGTGGTCAAGTGTTCAAGTGGGGTTGTGTCTGGAGCTCATGCTAGACAGGTAGGTCCTGTCCAGACTTGTTACTTGCACAGCAGTGGTGACCCAGGCACTCATCCACCCCAAGGCCCTTTGTGCAAAAACCTATGGCAGTGACTGTGTTCAGCCTTTCCGTGGGAGGCACCCTCAATTCCTAGGCTGTCTGGCTCGTCTCTGGTGCCTTGGAGTTGGGAGGTCCCAGATGGGCGGAAGGCAAAGCGCATCATCAAGCCTGTCCCAGAGCCATGATCCCGGAGCCATGGCAGATGTGGCCTGCAGAGCCTGGGCAGGGCGCTGAGCCGTGTGGTCCTCTTCTGCCTTCACCCACTTTTGGTGGCTAGTCTTCTCTGTAAAAGGAACGTGAGATCCAAACCACAGAACCAATAACGTCAGTGCCCAGCGAGACGAACAGCTGCTCGTGGTGGTTGGTTGCCATTAGTTGGAATTGAGTGCTATGGCCCCCTCCCCCTTTTGGGGGAAGAGGAGTTGGTGAGAATATATTTATATAAAGCACTTTATGGTCTTGGCTATCAAGGCCTGGCTTCTCAATAGAATATATTTCTTACTCTAGGTCCGTAGAAAACCACAAATACAGATTTCAGATAGGCCTGAGCTCAAGCTTTGTAGCCTGAGGAGGATGTGGGGTCTGCTGAGTGCAGTAAAAGGCATCAAGAAAGGTGTGTGACTCTCCCTGGCGACCCTCCTGTGGGTCGGGAGGCTCTGGTCACAGCCGCTGCGTCCGTCAGTTAGCAGGTGCCCCCAGTAGAGCCCTGGCATGGGCTGTCCAGACTCTCCCATCCCTGCCCCTTTCTTCCCTTAGCCCCTCTGTCCTGGGCTCGAGGGCCAGTGCTTAGCTCTGTCCAGACCTGAAAATGGGAGCAAAAACGCTCCCTGGTCTGCAGTGTGGATGCACTGGGTTGCTCTTACAAAAAGGAATATGGCAAGCAGTGGTGTGACAGCTGGAATTAGCACTTTATTCTTAAAAATGACAATAGAAAAGTACCTTTAAACAGTTTATAAAAGCATAATAGACTGGGTGGAAGTTGCCGTTTTCCTTAGAAACAAGAGTACAGAACTGTCACCACGAACCAGGAGGCGATGAAGGCCTAAGCAGGGCTTGGGTGTGGCAGGGACGTACCTTCCTGTCATTTATTGTGAGGGTGAGTGCCCCTCACCCCTGGCTCCTTTCGTTTTTTTTGTGATGAGCTTCTAAAAGTGTGTTGATCTCTTTACTTCTGATGGAAAATAATGAAACTAGAAAACCTGACACCAACCATGTATATATACTATAGTCATTAAAACATCGAAATCTTCAGCACAGCGTGAGCAGATCAGTAAGAAAGCTTGTGGTCATGTTTAGCTATATCAGCAGTTAAAAATTCTTAGGTCATTGTATTTTTACACCCGGCTCTTCTCCAACAAGGGGGAGAGTGAGCTGCCACAGACTCTGGAAGTGTCGGCTTACCACGCTAGACTGACCGGCTTTGACGGAGTCTTGAAGCAAGCTGATGAGTACTCATTCCAGACGCCAGGTAGTGTCACGGTGAGCACATGGGATTCAAGATCATGTTTTAAGTGGTGTGTCTGGCCTGCTGCTGCCAAGGCTCAGGAACACCAGCTCAGTTCAACCCATGTTTTGCAAAATCACTTGGGAGATGGGAGCTGCCCATTGCAGCCAGGTGGGCCGGGCAAAGGTGGCTGCCTCCTGGGCCCAGGCTGGCCTCCCAAGCCAAGGCTTCCCCTTAGACTCAGCACGTTCACCGGGGGAGTCGCGTGTCAGCTGGGCACACACAGGAGCGTGCTGGTAGAAGAAAAACATAAGAAAACGGCAAAACCCAACACTCAGCCCACAGTTTGTATAGTTACCTCGGGAGCTGCCGGGCTCTTCTAAGTGAGGAATGTGCTCCAAGGAAAGGCTGCTTTGCCCCGCTGGGAACCTGCCGCCGTTAGGATAGAAGCTCCTGGAGGCCTTTGATTGTCTTGCAGGGTGTCCTACTAGACCTGGAAGTAAACCCCGAGTACTGCACTAGCAGTTCTAACATCTAACGCTGCGTTACTCGTGGACTCAGGCCAGGGAAACAGATTTCTATACATTCACCATATGATTCTGGAAATTTTGATAATATTTAAAAACATGCCTTAAACATGCAGCTTCTTTTAGAGGAAAAAAATAGATATTTTAAATTACAAGCATTCAAAAGTCAAGCACAAAATCTGTGATCCAGCCCAGTGTAAGATCATCCATCCTGTCATACTTAAAATGTTTGGTATAAAAATACTCACTCTCTTGATTTTATCGTTGACATCTTTTATGTTTCATTCGAAAATATCTCCAAACTGTACAGAAATGGCAGACCATGCGTTCACAAATAACACGGTTTCTTACAAATTATACAGTGTAAAAGAGTAAAACATTTTTATTGTATTTTTTTCTTCGAGAAAAACAGATGTGTGATAGAGGCTGTGGCAGAGTCTTGAAGGGACCAAAACTGGGCGGGTTCCAGCCTGAAACAGAAAGAAAGCATGTAAGGGCAGTGGGTCTCACAAGCGCGTGGTCTTCCTCTGAGCCACGGGGCTGTTTCGGGACACCAGTGTATAGAAGCCACGGCTCAGAGACTCCTGGTGATTCCCCACAACGGCGCATGTGTACACCTTTCTGTAAACACGGAGTATCCTCACTGACCCTCCCGCTGAAGACCACTCACAAGCCAGATGCTCAGTGGTCTGGCTTTACAGACACGGGCAGCGGGTATTTAATTTCTGTTTATCTTTCTCTTACTAGAATCTTTTCAAGCCCTCCCTCCCCTGCAAGGAAACGTTCATATTTGTTTTGCTTCGTGGCAGAATAAAGGGCCTTTGGACAATCATCTAGACTTCGTCCCTGGCAGACCCCCGCCCTGGTCCCAGGAGTTTCGTAAACACTTCTCAGCTCCTTTGTGTCTGGATTTACTCACTTACGTGAAGGCTCTATTGTAGGTGCTCTACTCTTATTCTGTCGCTCATTTTACTTTCATCTCTCCAACTCCCCAGTCCCTTGTTTTCTTGCCATCTTACCAACAGGTCAGACTCACATAAATCTGTGATTGCCGGAAAGGTATACGTAGAAGTAATCAGCATATACTACTAGAATTTTGTATGTGGGAGGAAGCCGTCCTTGCTGTTAACAGCCCCTGTCCTGCCCTGAGTTAAACTCTTTCAGACACAGCTAATTGGACGATCTTAATGAACACTCCTCTCCCACCCAGATCCGTCCAGTGCCAGCTGGATCTAAACTATGTCCCAGTATATCTTGTCAGAGCCTAGTTTTTGGTTGACAGTACAAATGGGTAAAACTAATGAGCCACAAGTCAGAAGACCAAATACAATAACCACAAACCTGTGGCTCCTGGAAAACTCCATGGGGAGAAGGTAGGACACTGCTCTCAAGAGTAGGGATCTGGACATCCAGAACCTCTTCTCTGAGGTTCGGTTAACACTTACCTGTCTCTTCAGCTTGTTGTAACTATTAAATTAGTCCTCGCCTATCATTTAGTTACGATTATAGAAAGAATAAGGAGCGTCCCCTTCGGTTTAGAAACGTTCCCAACTCGAGCTCTGGGAGCCAGGTCCCCGTGTCCTCCCTGCAGTTTCTCCGAGTTCTCTGGGAGCCAGGTCCCCGTGTCCTCCCTGCAGTTTCTCCGAGTTCTCTGGTACAGGATTTGTCCAGCAGGAGGTGATCACCTCCTTTAGGAAAATTCCTTTGCTTCCCCTGGTGCCCAGCACAGCAGTGGGGATCAGCCCCCCAGACTCACTCAATGCCGGAGGAATCGAAGCGGGCCAGGACCCTTCACTCCCCATCTTTGGTGCAGGTCACACGTACTGTGACACTCAGCAGGGCCAGCAGAAGGACCCCCCCCTCGTGAAAGCTACATCTCTTCTCCTGCCTGATTTCTACCCAGCAGGGGGTGGGGCACCAGGACCCCCGATCCAGCCCAGGTGTGCACGGCCTGAAGCAGGCCCGGGTGGGTGGCAGGAATGCACGTGCCCAGGGTTATGGGGGGGTCACAGGGCCGGGCCTGGTCCTTGGTGCTGTAGCAGCTGACGTCCTCTAATGAACTCACGAGCCTCGGTCCCCACGAGCGTCTGATCTGCGGCCCTCTGGCTGCCAAAGGGGCCTCCCCCACCTGCCAGTCTCTGTCCGTCCACGGAGGAGGGAAACCAGCTTTGGGGACCCGGAGACGAGGCCAGCTTCCTTCCTCCTCAGTCTTGGCTTGTCAGGCCTGGAATGACAAGTCCCACGTCATTCCAAACTTGACCCCATGCCAGCAACCCAAGCCGTGGATGTCGTCGATTCCAGGAAACCAGGGCCAAGGAACAGCAGTTCCCACTTCGGAACAACTCACAGGGGACAGCAGCGGGCAGCCCGTAGGCTCTGGGAACCTGAGGGGCGTCTCACAGAGCATGGGCTTGGAGAGGGCCGCCCACTAGTTTAGGAAGGACAAAGCTCTTACAGCCCCTGGCTCGGTGAGGCAGGGCCTGCCTGGTCTAGGTCTGCTTGCTTCTCCGGAGCTCAAAGGCCACCTTCAGGCAAGTGCACATTGCCAGCTCCCGGGCAGTTCTCCCCATTCCCATCAGCTCTGCCCTGGGCGTTTCTGCCATGACCTCAAAGGCAACGCGTCTCTACCGAGACTCACCACTTGGCCTTCACACGGATGCGTCCCAGACACGCCCTGCACTCTCAGGTCACTCTGACACCGCCATCACCGGCTTGGTTCGCCTCTCCCGGTACGTGTTTCCACTAGACCATGCATTTTGCTTTGGGCAGTAAGGTGACAATTCCTAAAGCACCTCCCGCTACCTGGCTCAGATCTCCGCTGCCTCTCCAAGACCCTCAAAACCTTGATCAAAATCCATTTTCCACAAGACCACACAGTCATTCTTACGTGCCCCGCTTCTGTTAGTGTATTTCCGCATACACAAACCCTACTATCTGTCAAAACTCAGTTTAAGCACCACTTCCTCCAGCCTTTCCTGATCCCTTCAGGCTGCAGGGCTTTCTCATCTCCTGGCTGGAGCTCTCACGGTCCAGGCCACTTACTTGGCTTTCACAAGGATTACTTCCCTCCCTGAGACCGTCTCCACCATCCTCTACTCCAGACGTAGTCACTTGCATGTAGCAAAAATGCAGACACCTGGACTCTAGGACAAATGAAACGGGAACGATGGGCTATTAATGGGACGTGGCCCCCAGCCTTGATCATGCCCAGGCTAGGCTGAGAGCCAGGAGACTGTGCCTGGGGCCCACGTGGGGCTCTGCACACCGGCCCTGACAGGGCCTCTACAGAAAGCTGATGCGGGGACTGGGAAGGCGCCCCAGCTTTCTGAGGCGATAAGCAACACACCCGACTTAAGGGTCCTCTGTCCCCTTCCTGGGCCCCTGAGCAGGAAGAAAGATGGACGGGGCTGGTTAATCTAAGGCTGCGTAGAAAGTCGGATCTTTTGAAGTGAAAAAGAACAGGGAGGGAAGAAACAAAGGGGTGAGAGTCGATAGTTTCCTGAGCTTTTCTGCTTTTCCATAACTGTGTTGGGTAAATGCAGTTCTCACATGGGAAAAGAATGCGTCCGCATTGCCATAGATGTTCCAGACTGAATAGAAGGTCAGAATGTGGCTATTTCAATCCCTGTAAACAAGGAAAGGGGTTTAGCTAGGAACGGAGTTCAAACCTTGGAATGTATTAACAAGGACATTTTAAACAGAAAGCAAAGACATCCGGGAACACAGAGCACCATGGGGGGTGGGAGAGAGTCAGGCTCTGTTTACAGAGCAGACTCTCCTCACAGAACCTTTCCGGAAAGGGGGTCAACTATGACATGCATGTGATGGGATAAACAAGGGAAGAAAATGTGTATAAAATCTTGTCTGAAGCAGGTCACCACTGTCTCTTATTTGAAGGCAATGGAGCGTCTCCCTGTGTCTTAAGGAATATTACACAATTCTAAACCAGTTCATTTCAGCTGTCCTCGATGGAGATCACTGTGTGTCCCTCAGTGCTTGGGGACAGCTGCCGATGGGTATGGGTCATGGTGCTGGCTGCCCTGGTGGGGTTAGGGGTGGCCAACGCCGAGACCCACGGGAGAGGCTGCTCTTCCCCGAGGCAGCTTGGTAGGTTGGTAAGTTAGAGTGTGTTGATCCAAGCGCCTTGTGAGTGTTTTCTCCCAGCAAGAAGAAAATCCTCTTTCTGTTTCCTCCCAATCCATTTGTATCTATACTTGGCCTATTTACTAATGATTTTTTCCCCAAGAGTTTTTCTAACATTTATTCATTTTTACTATAAGGTAAGAAATATTCCCTTCCATCCAAATCCCAACATCATATGACTAAGGTTTTTAATAAGAGTGGTTTAGTTTTCATTTTATACCTGTCAGCTTGACTTTTGAAAAATCAAATGCTGGTACTAATTTGTAACACAAAGACTAACATTTTAAAAGCTTCACAGTCTATAGAGTCTCCAGGGAACAGTCATCTGTGGTTAGAAACTCCTCCCTATTCTAAAGATGCATGCCCTGCACCGGCGCACCACTGGCCACAGACACGAGCTCACGCTGGCCGCCCCCACTGTGGCCCTGGGTGGACGCCAGCCCTCACCCTCAGGAGGCCCGCCCTCGGGGCCAGAGATCCTCCCTCCTCACAGGCCAGGCCTATCTCTGCAGTGCTGGCTGACTTCAGAGCTGGGGAGGGGAAAGCCTCCTCCACACTCTTGTAACCGATGGGTGGCCTGGGGCTGGTAAGCCCCACTGTGAACACGGCTAGTGCTGAAGACCCCGTCCACGCGGGCCACCCAGGACCGAGCCGGTTCTCCTCCCCACTGTCACCAGGCCCTTCCACTGTCTGCAGAGAGTCACCACACGCTCCAGCTGCTGCTGCTTCCTGACGGGGCTCATCTGCTTGTGCCCGAATTACTGAGATATGGGCTGATTTACTACACTAAAAATAAATAATAATAAAAAATCCCTACTCTAAACCTGCTTCTAAAAAAATTGTATGGGTGGCTGCTAATTGGTCCTTAAATTTCCCCAGAGGAGAGAGAAAGCAAAGCAAGATCTTGCCTTTTTAAACAGTTTTACTGAGTGGTATTATCCATAAGAATACCGTGGACACTTCTGTTAAGGACCACGAGAAGAGGAAAACCTGATGGATTAGAAGGCTGTAGAACTAGTGGGACATCTCTTGGCTGCCCTGTGTGATGTGGAAAACTCTTTACCTGTCGGTCAGTTTCGTTAGTGTGAGAAACAGACGTCAGTGGGAAAAAAGACCCCAAGTGCCTGATGCCGGCTCCCCAACCAGGCAGGGTGGGCAGGCTGCACGCGCCCACTACACGTGCCTCTGGGGGGCACTGAGAGGCGGGCTTCTGAGCACGAGATGACTTATGCCCCGAATGTGGTAATGACCTCCTAGGCCCAGCTGCCTGGTTCTCTGCCCTTAGCAGGAATCCTGTTCTCTTTATGACTCATCCTTTCTTTATAGGCCCCTCACAGGGATGAAATCTGCCACCTTATTTGGGCTGGGACATAATTGCTGCTGGCCTGCCCCTGGCATTCCTGCTGTTCTAGGTCAAGCTTTCCAAAGAGACTGGAAGCCCCACGTGTGGTGCCCAGCAGGCAGGTCGCCTCCTGGAACCCTGCTGCACGACTGTTCTGAGACAACGCTTACTGCCCGCAGTGAAAGAACTGAGCAGTGACAGCTGGTAGTGACGGAGAAGACGGACAAATCACCCAAATCTTCACCACTAGAAAAGCCGCGCAGTTTAGGAGTCCACTTAGACTCCATTATAGTTCAGTCATGCCCAAGGGCAATCGCCCTGTTTCTTGAGAGGCTCAGAATGTCTCCAAGTCATCAAGAAAGGGCTGCACTATATTCAGTATAACTGGATTAATAGATCAAAAGGAATATACATACTACATCTGAAGATTTCCACCAAAATGGTTAATTAAAAAAAAAAAAAAGCCTTAGGGCTTCAAGGGAAAAACTTCATTCATATATATGTTCCCTTTGATGGAATACCTCATACCCGGATACTGCTGGAGGAGGTGTTGACAGCCTCACCCAGCAAGGCTGTGAGGACCAAGCACTGGGTGACGCGCTCTGAGAGCCCGCAGAGCTCACCTGCTACCCCGGGACGCCTTTCCCTCAGCAGACGGCAGCTGGAGGAGACGAGCGCACGCCGGTCCCGAACGCCCACCGCAGCCCCTGGAGGGGCCCCACCCACCGGGGATGCTGGTGGGATGGCCCCGACTACACCACTCCACGCGGTCGTGCCCTGCCCGGGACACGCTGCTTCTTGGGAGGAACTGTTCAGTCTCTAAGTTTGGAACTCACCAGCGTGCTCCAGTTTTGTAGAACAGCTCGAGAACAGGAGCCACTTGAAGATTGCGTTAATACCCACAAGACAGATTGCAGCCACCATCACACACCTGGAACCTGGGGTGGAGAAAGAGATGAGCCGTTAACACCCGCGGTGACAGCAACCCCGGCTGCCGGCTTCCCCGGGCCTGTTCCGAGGGTAAAGAGCTGCAAGGCAAAGGCACCAGCACCAAAGGCCTCCACTGCTGAGCTTGAGGACAAGCTCCAACTGGGAGTGCCACGAAGAGCTCTCACTGGGACGTGGTGCAGCCAGCGGGAGGCGGCTCTCGGGGGCCGGGGTGCCCGGCAGCAGAGGGTGGCTCCCAGGGACTCCCTGCAGCAAGCCCAGTGGGGAGGGCACCTGGAGAAAAGCGTGGCCCTTTAGGAGCACCAGGGCATAAGCCCCCCGGGGGCAGACAGGCAGGGCCTCTGCACACACGTCCCCCAGGACTAGACAGAGGAAAGGCACGGGATCTGAGGGCCCCCGAGAGCAGCCCGAAACCTAACCAACTCCAGGGGCCACCCCAGACCCCAGGGACAACTCTGGTCAGCCCAAGGCCACAGAAGCAACCCTCCAGGAGAACCCTGTGCTGTCATGTGCACCAATGAACTCGACTTTGCTCCGGGCACCTACTAGGAAACAAAACCCAAAAGCTAACACTTGTGAACATACCCTGCTATTCCCAGTGTCTGAGAATTCTGAGACAGGAAGAGGCAGACACTTCGAGAGCAACACATTTTTAATATTCTTCCTGCAGGCATGGCTGCCTCCGCGCTGGCTGGTTTCATCAAGAATTCCTGGTGCTGAGGAAGGAAGGCCTTCGCCCAGCACGTGGACACCGGTGCCCGATTCCCCGCTAACGTTCCTCAGGTCTTCAGCGCTGCTCTCCTTCCCAGGACAGAGAACCTGCTTCTGGCGCACAGGGCTTTGTGGACAGGAGCGCACGATGTGCTGTGGAAAGCTGCCCCGGGATGCTGCAGGGAGACCATGCCCTGCGCTCAGACGGCCTCTGGGGTGATGCGGCAGGCTGAAGGAAAGATCGCCTTCCCAGGGCATCTCTCTTCTCAGAGTCAGGAGAAAAAAAAAAAGTTTTCCCCAGAATTTCACTATAAAAACATTGAAAGATGAGTAGATGTGATTCTAGTCTCCTGGTAGAAGTTGGGTTGAGGACAGAAAAATAAATGTTCACCCCTGGAAACAAAACCTATCATCTGACCCAAGTTTCCCCGGCCGTGTCCACACTTGCCGGGCACAGGCAAGGAGGGAGGGAGGGTGTGCCTGCAGACCCAGGGTGCCTCCTGGGGCGGCCAGACCAAGGCTGCCTTTTTAGGATGGCTGTCATTTAGGAAATCACACTGATGACCAGATTCCTCTCAGCCTCTGGGCTGAAGCTAGTTGGGAGGACTGAGGACTGGTGGTTTAGGAGTCCTGGGACCCTGGCTTCTGGGCCCGGGTTCTGGGAGACCAGGGTTTTATCAGCAAGCCGCTCTTTGCAGTTACTGTATCAACAACACTTGTCCCCACGCCGGGCTCAGCGGGTCGGCAGAGAGAACACGTGGGCCAGAGTCTGCTTTGCAGAGACCCCGGGAGCGGACTCCCCAAAGAACACAAAACACCAGAGGGGAGTCCCAACGCGTTCACCTCTATGTAGAGCACGCGGCCTTCTGAAGCTCTCAGCCACTCAGAGAGCTGATGGCAGTGGACGGTCGGCTCCTGCAGGTGGCCCTGCCCTGCGACTGCGGAAACGCCGAGGCTCAGTGTCCTGATCTTAACATGCGGCCGCAATCTGTGACCTTCCTCCAGGGGCCGGGCAGGCAGCTCCCTGGTGCACGTGCTCGGGGGCCTCCGTGTCCCAGCCAGACTCACAGAATAGACCACGGGTGAAGGGGGAGCCACAGCTGACTGCGCTGGCTGTCACAAGAGTCCTGGTTGGCACATGGCTCGGCAGGTGCTAGGAGGTGGTTAGCAGAAAGCTAGAAGGGACGCCACCACCCCAGTACCTGGCAGGAGGCAGGTTCTCAGGCCCGTCCCTACTTTCTGACTCACACAGGAAGCAAAACAGACCCTGGGGCTCAGGGTGAGGGAATCAGAACCAGGGCACGTGGAGACCCCTGTCAGGGAAGGGCTCATCCACTCGGGCCGCCGGGCACCTTCTGCCAGCGCTGCCTTCAAGCCCCACCCAGCCCAAGCCTGTTCACTTGGATGTAGCAAAAGGGAGGGGAGAAGAGGAACAGAGAAGTTAAACTGTCCTCTAAGCTTGACTAAAGTGAGGTCTGTTCTGAAAAAAGAACCCCATATAAATCTGGGAGAGCTTTCATCTCTGCTCCCGTGTGCAGGGAAGCACCTGCTGACCCCTCACAGTCGCCGTCTTTCCTTGATTGGCATTTTTCCATTAGCCCTTCTCACCACCCGACCTACTGTTTACTTTAGTATTTTATTACTCTTCTCCCTGTTACAGAATGTCACCTCCACCAAGTCAAGGGTTTTGTCTGCTTCTGTCCACTGTTGTATCTGCAACACCCAGAACAGTACCTTATATCCCGCAGATGGTCACTGAATATGTATTGTGTCAATGACCTTACGTGTGACTGAAAGACCTTGGTTCATAGAAGACAACGGAAGGACCCTGGGGCCTCTTCTAGGCAGAAGGCAGGGGGTGAGTGCCTGAAGCCACAGCAGCTGTCTGGGCTTCCATGAAGACTCTGCCCTTCCCACCCTGCTAAGCTCTAAGTGCTGCCTGGACATCCAGCAGCTGGGGCTCTCCGGATCGTGGCCGCATCCCCAAGGCGCTTGTGCTCACAGCCAAAGACAGACTAGGCCATTCCTCCCCAAAACTAAACAAAAGGAACAAACAGGTTCAAATTCTTATCCCTTGCCATGTTCTCCTTTAGTTCGGTGAGGCCGTGACTACACGTGCTTATAATTTCTATGCTGTGGTCTCAGTCCCCGGCCAGGGAAATTTCATGAGTTCTTTAAGAACACCCTCCCACGTCCACTCCAACTCTAATTCTTTCTCCCCTCTTTTTTCTGATTTATTTAACTACATTTGGATACCCAACCAGGAAGACTGCATAACCCTTATTCCTTGTAAGGAGTGACTACAGAGCTGCTCATGCTTTTCTATCCTCAACCCATCTGGGAAATTGATCACTGCCAATCATTACTGTGTTTCCTGGGGTTCTCGGCCACATGGCTGACCCATTAGCAAAACTCTGTAGGGATGTGCACACGCTGTAACCAGACTGAACACCGTCTGTCAAGCAAGATGTTGAACAAATTAAAACGTAACACCCACCCCTCTGACGACCACCATTCTGATGGCCTTACTTACGCCGCTGATGGCGGTCCGCACGCACACCCACCTCCTTTGGAGCGCTCCTCTCTTTGGAGCATCCTGGGCAATAATTCTCCTTTCTCTTTAAAACTTGTGTCCATGGCTCTTGCCCCTTAGAACTGAAGCTCTTCAGGGGCACAGGCCTCGTTTCACACATTTTTTTTTTTTTTTTGCAGTATGCAGGCCTCTCACTGTTGTGGCCTCTCCCGTTGCGGAGCACAGGCTCCGGACATGCAGGCTCAGCGGCCATGGCTCACGGGCCCAGCCGCTCCGCGGCACGTGGGATCCTCCCGGACCGGGGCACGAACCCGTGTCCCCTCATCGGCAGGCGGACTCTCAACCACTGCGCCACCAGGGAAGCCCTCACACATTTTTATATCTACCATATAGTAGATAAATAACACATGTTTAAAGAATAAAGAGCTTATTTACTTTTCTAGTCTAGTCACTGATTTCCCTTTAGAAATAAGCGCTCAGACTGGGTCAATTAAAAATCCCTGAAGGACCTCCGGGAGAACAGGCCTGGAATGTTCAGGATCCAGGAGGAGGCAGCCCTGACGTTCCACACATCAGAAGTGACGCCGGTCTGCGTACAGGTCCTTATGTCTGATACCAGATGTCACTCCTGCCCCCATTCCGGTGCTGTCTTTCCGGGGGGGAAGAAAGCCCCTTCCAGTGAGTGCAGGAAGGCCATGTGGGCCAGTGGTTCCACTGGTGGCACTTTTGCCCTTTTCTGGAGACTCATCTTGCTCTAAAACGTTGGTTATTTCATCAGCACCACTGTTTTCAGTTCTCACTTACGTCTCCTTAAGATTACACAGCCTGGATTATTAGCTGTCTTGGAAAGGACTTGATCCAAGAGACGAGAAGGAGCCTGGGTAATGGAGCCATACTGAGCTGGTCTAACTTCAGGCAGGATGGGAGTCCCAACCCCAAGTGCAGTGCAATGAGTTCAGTGACCTATCCTCCTCCTGAACTACCTCCTCTCCCCCACTCCCTTCAGACCCCAAGGAAGGAGCCTGGCCCATGGCCCAAGTTTATCTCAGAACAATGATGCACCCACAGGAGACATCACATCTTTATGCAGATCCTACAGTGTTTCAGAAGCCATACTTCCAGGGCAGTGGGGAGCAACTGCTGGCCCTTCTCTGGTAGCCACGCCGCCTCTAGATCTCTGGGGAATGGAGCTAGATCTCTTCGACTGCTTACCAATCCTGCCTTCTCTCTCCTTGGGCCCTATGCCACCACCATCTTTTGCCAACTGGAACTGCCAAAATCTTACTCAGCTTTCCTACAGCATTTGACGCTGCAGACCAGGCAGCTCAACACTGCCCTCCCCGGGCGCCGTGCCGCCCCTGTCCCTGGTCACTCTTCACTCTCAACAAGCTGACCCCTTCCATCCAGGAGAGCCTCCAGGTTCTGTCCCACCGACCTCACCTCCGATTTCATTAATTTCCTCAACTATCAGCTTCTGCAAAAGATGCCAGATCTACATTTCACCCCATGAACTCTCTCATGAGCTTCAGAATTTCTGGTTTTCTTATCCTAGACGCCTCTAGGTGAATACCTACCAGCCTCCGAAAATTAAGAGATAAACACTGTCACAGAGAGGTACCTGGGAACAGTGCCTTCTGGAGCTGTATAACACGACAGCGCTAGACCAGTGTCATCCAGTAACGGAGAAGGTTCCCACACAACAAATGCCTAAGGCTTTTCGGAACAGAGAAACAATGGCCGGGGATATATAAATTAAATTTAAAAATTATGGGCACATGGATATGAAGCATGGATTCAGGAAATTCTGGACTTAAAGGGACTCCAGAATATACCTCAAAAGCTTAAAATTTATATTTTCAGGGAGAAAAAAGTCACCCTTAAATAGCAAACTAAGATTTCGCACAATAGTAAAACATTGTAAACATTTTAGGTGTCTAGCACGGACGGCTGACTTCACCTTTCTAAGAAAGGACATTGGAAACACACTGTCACTAACATTACCATTTCATTTTAAAAGGGTACTTTAACACACACAGAAGAACAATTTCAGAATAAGGGACAAATACAAGTAGCTTTAAGGAAAGAATCCTGGTTTTCCCCCTATAATCACATATTAGTGACAAGCGTTAACAGGTGACTCCTGGTCCAAGGGTTATACGTATGGGTGCCCCTGGTGTAGGTTCTGGATAAGAGGTGAGGGCACGGTTTCCCAAGGCGTGTGCTATGTAAAACATTAGTCTCCTAAGATGGTGCGAGAAAAGGGTTTCCTGGTCTCAAGTAAGTTTGAGAAATACTGCATCCTAAGTAAGTTTGAGAAATACTGCATCGTAGAGTTTCCTAATCTTCAAGATTCAGGATGCTCATAGTGTTATAAAGGCTCTGAGAATCGTTTGGTAAAAAATCTTTTTAACTCCGACCTTAGAAGCGTGTAAGTCTCTGTCCACGGTTACACCCAAGGCCAAGTGCTCTTTGACCACACTCAGAAATATGTCAGCTCAGGGGAAGAAAAGGTACAATCCTAACTTATTGAAGTTGATGTCTTAAAGCACAAAAGTGTCATCCTTTGACTGACTTATTGCCAGGGCCAGAGAAAGAATCCTGACTGGTCGGGGTGTGGGTTGACTGGCCCCTCCGACGCTCCTGTGTGGGATTTCTGGTACTCTGACACCCAACACTAATCCTTCTGTTTGGTGAGGCCCTTCCTTCTGACCTAGGACCAGAGCCCCCTGGAAGCGCTGACCTTTTACGGTGCTAAGAACTTCAGTAACTGAAATCTGCACTCAGCGGTTCCCCTGGTAATTGAAATGAAGGTGACATGAGCCACCAACTGAGACTTCAGGTCAACAGGGCAACTTGCCTGTGCAAAGTAAACCCCGGAACTCTCTGGGCCACAAGGAGTTTGCCAGGTGACTGTTAACGAGCACGGACAAGCCCAGGAGTAGGCACTGAGGCAGGATGACAGCCACCCAGTTATCAAACATCTGCTCTGGCCTGGGCTCATCCAGGCACTGGACACAGTTCTCATTGAAACCAAGTACTTACATGGGATTCAGCAGAACTGACGGGACTTCCAGCCCTGAGAAGTAGCCTCGGAGGGAGGGAGCCAGCGCATCTGGAAAGACACAAGGGGAGAAGGTGTGAACCAGGGCTCCCCCTGCCCGCCTGTACATCCACACTCCTCACAGGGCGTCCTGCTGGGCTGCTGCCCCCTTTACTGTCCCCAGGCAGTGCCCACTCATCCTTGCCCACGGGCAGCTCTCCCCCCAGGGGCTGGAAAGCATTGGAGCCGCATCCTGAGGAATCCTCCACAGGACCAAGCTCTCACGGAGCAGCCGGGGTCCAGCAGCTGCCCCGCTCCCAGCTTCCTTCTCCGCTAACAGCCACTGCGGGGCTGAAATCTGGCCCAGCGAGCCCCCTTTTCCATGCTCACTCAGCAGCACCTAGGCTGGGGGCCAGGCTGCCTAATGGCTTTCTGAGTAGCCTGTGGCAACACGTATCAGCTTTGATAAGGAAGGGATGCTTCCCGACACCATCCACGCCAGTGGTCTGGCCAGGAAGCCTTTTGAGATTCTGCTCCTATTCTTTTAGAAAGGGTCCTGGCCTCTTGGCCCTGCGGGGTGTCTGTCTGCTCACTCTGCTGAGCCCCACCTCCCCCATTAGGTTTCCAAAATGAAAGGCCAGCCCCAAACACAAACGGATGGCGATGCTCTGTGCAGTGGCAGGATGTTCCCATCCTGTAATGAGGAGAATGTGAAAAAACAAACAAAAGGGCGAGTGCACTATGGCTTTGACAGATGTCCATCTATTGGCACCGTCAGTTTTGACCCTAAGCCTTTGGACAGAGGCGAGAGATGCCCGTTTATCGCTGCGTCTGTTTACACCGAAGAGGGACGACCTCCCCACCGGCCTGTGAGCAACACAGGAAGCAGTGCTGGGCGTGGTGGCGGGAGAGCAGATTACAGTGAAGGGGGAGGCTGCCAGCACAGGGAGGTGGCATACTCCCAAGCATGGCAGGAGGAAGACTGCTCTTTACCTGGGTCTGGCCCAAACCAGTTCACGTGAGAACGTTTCTAGAGTGGAATGTGATGCTGGGAGGAATTTTACCCTGGCAAATCAACTTCCGTAGTTTAATGAAATAAAATCTGCAGCAGAACCCCTTTTTCATGTGGCATCTTATTCACATCTCCAAAGCATAAACAGATGAAGCAGCAGTCTGGCCGATACAGAGGTGCAGGGGGCCTAAGGCATTGATGGAGACCTTCCGCCTCATCTTACCTGACTTGTACAGGTGGGGAAATCAGCTGAGGGCTGGGTTTTCTGAATGATGTCCACCATGGTCACAGAGCCCAGTGGGCTCGGGGCTGGGTCAGAATCCAGGGCTCAGGCTCCACCAGCTCTAACTTGATTCCAAAACCTGGGCTGTCTAGGAATGGGCCCGGGAGAGCCCACATAGTACCCCTGGCCTCTCCCCCTGGTCCACATGCACAAGTGCGCGGAGTTCCCTTTGACCCCACGGGCCTCCTTCACAGAGCGGCTACTTCCCTCTGGCTGTCACTGCAGGGTGAGGGGCCACACTGGGGCACTCTGTCCCAGCTGGGAGGAGAGGTGTCTGGCCTCACTTACTCAGGAGGCTTCATAGGACCAGGGTGCAGCTTCTGCCTACACCAGGACTCCATTTCGGGGAAACCGCTGGGCCGGCTGTGCCTTAGAGACCCGCCGGAGCAGCACGTCAGATATGACTGGAAATCAGTTTACCAGCCAAAGTGGTCCCCCGCGTTGGCAGAGGGCAGAGCTGTATTCCTTCGGAGCCACCAGCTGGTACTGAAGCTCATTTAAGACAGAGCCAGAGTCCTTTCAACACTCATAGCAATTAAGGGGACGGGGACCAAAAACACTGCATGCAGGTAGGCTAAATACATGTCACGGGGGGAACTTAGGGGGGTAGGCAGGGCAAAGGGAGAGAAAGAAAGAGGGGACGTGTGGAGGCAGGAGGCCGGGAAGGGAGAGGGAGGGTAGAGTACAGGGGAGGAGGGGCAGAGGGCAGAAGGGAGGGAGGGGAGGAAGAGACTCAAAGAAAAAACTCATACCTACCCATGGCTTACGGCTTTGGGCATCTGAATCCACTTGCTCACTAAGCAAAGGGCAGAGGTGGAGCTGCCTTCCCGAGACAGGTGGTAAAGGATGGGGTGGGGACGTGGAACCTAAGCGCACACTGGAGGGGGCGGGGCCGTGCGCACCGGGGTCGGGGGAGCGCGGTGGTGACAGCTGGTGCTGCCCGGGTGCTGCCGGGTGCGGGGCGGGAGCGCTGAGCCCAAGGAGGCCAAGACGCGTTGGTGGTCAACGGAGGAGGCACGGGACAGGGGCTGCCCGAGGAGGGGAGAGCCGCAGAGTGGCTGGCAGGAGCCTCGCTTCGATGCAGGTGAAGCCCCTCCCGCCCTGCACGCCCGCTCGAGCCTCTCCACGCACACACGGCCTCGCACTCTCCCCGGCCGGCCGCGGGCGACGCGCGGGCCGGCGGAAGCTGAGCCCCGGGCTCCAGGGTAAGACGCGCTCGGCCGAGCAGAGGTGAAGTCGGCCCACTGGCTGATGCTCAGGGAGGGTGTGGCGGCCACGCAGCAGACGGGCCCCGAGATCCATCCCTCTCGTGCCCCACGGCTGGACACCACCGCGCCTGCCTGCGTCGGCTCTGTGAGGCCACTTCCTCAGAAGGCAGGTGGCCGAGCCCGCACTTCTCATCAGCACTGTCCCTGGGCCCGCAGAGCACAGAGCAGCAGAGCTCACTGGGCAAAACCCGAGCTCAGGCAGCCAGCCCCGAGGAACAAGCTGCTCTGTGCTAATTACCGCTGTCTGGGAAAACACGGTTCTTCCTTAACACCCACTCAGGCTGCTCTTCTGCTGTGGTTTTTGGCCCCGGGTCACTCGCGGCCACTCCTGCCCAGTGCCTAGGGGCTACTTAGATGCGTCACAAACACCGGGGAGACCCATGATTCCCCGACTCCAGCTCCAGGGACAATCCAGCAGGGATGCAGTCTACGCAGCTGACCACCCTCGTAAGGCAACGGTCCTGTCTGCAGAAAAATGCACGTGCGCTCAATCACACATACACAGCTGCACGCTCACAACCTTGTATGCAATTCCAGGGGCCTCAGAAATCCCTGCAGGAGCCTCTAACATCATTCCTACAATCCAAGCTAACACTGATCTTTACTCTGTGCCAGAGACTGCGAAGCACATCACAGAAACTGTGACATATAAATGAATAAGCAACACAGAAGACGCTGGGATCCTTCCCCCAGAGCTTCATAACGCCGACAGTTATTACTGTCACGATTCACCATCCAGGGCCCACACTGGGATGCCACCATGACACTTCTGCAGGAACGCTGCTCTCAAATGCAGTGGCCCTGCAAGGGTAACACTGAAGTCTCCATCACCTCAGCCTCGTACCAGCTCCTGTGACTGGGGACAGACAGGAGGGCAGCCAGAAGAAGAAATGACTCAGAGCAAAGATAAAGTGGAGCGCTAGAGAGAGGAGAAGGAACCCATAGAGATAATTTCCATCCTCTTCCATTTGTAGATGAGGAAACTAAGGCCCAGAGGATTAAAATACATAAACTTCACGTCCCCAGTAGTGTTGCCAAGGACAGGAAACCCTGACTGGGCTCCAGGGTGGGAGCCCTGCCTGAGGCACTGGCCCCCGTACAGTGGTTTGTGGGGAGCACAGTGTAAAGTACCGAAAGAGTCATCCTCTGCACTGTACTATCCCCGAGTAGTGATAACTCCCATCGTCCCACATGCCTTTGGAAACAGTCATGAGAGGTGCTCACCAGGCAGCTGGCTCAACTCACGGCAACTACCATTAACAGATACCCCTTGGTTCAGCAATGTTCTTCTCTGTGGAATAAAGGGACAAGTCTAGACCAGTGGTTCTCAAGAGTGTGGTCCCTTGACCCCCAGCATCACCTGGGACATATATCAGAGATGCAGAAACGGCAGGGGTAGGGCCCAAGCACCTGCATTTAACAAGTCCTCCAGGAGATGATGACGCATATGTATGCTACAGTTTGAGAGACACTGTGCTTGAACAGGTTTCCAAAAGTGTGTCCAGAAGAAGTGAGATGCTCTGCAGTCAAGTACATTTGAGAGAAAAATGCACAGTCTCAGCAGATTCTAGATACACGTTAGCACATCAAAGGCTCTCAGAAGTTTAAACAAACCTGTTTGACCTGATTTCATCCTGGGTTTCTCAAGTTTATCTGATCACGGAATCTTTTGAATTACATAGAAGTGCTGAGAAACGCTGGTCTGGAAGGCCCCTTCCAGTGGTGACATATGGTGGATCCAGGAGGCTGAGGCACGCTGACACAGCACCCAAGTTCCCAGCTCTTAACAAAACTAATCAGGGCTGGAAGATGATCACCAGACCAGCTGGTACCCTGGATGTCTAATCTATCGGGAGCAGTGAAGATCTTCTTACCTTTCCTAAGGCAGGTGCTGTACCTGAATGCAGATTTCCCAGCACCACAGTCAGAACGAAGCTTCCTCTCCTTTTTAAGGCATGGATATTCTTAGGCAGGTTTCCACCACTGTCCCCAAGAAGGAGCCCTGAATACCCTGCCAGGGCCTTCCCAGCATTGAGCCATTGGCCGCCAGCCACTCACACAGTTTAATTATAAGCAACTCTGCCCCACTGACTCCCAGCTCTAAGGATCCGCTCTTACGCAGCATCACCAAATAAAGCATGTCAGGGCCCACGGCAAACTTCGTTGCAGGCTGCCAGGCTGAGGAGAGGCTGCCAAGGCAGAAGCACACTCTGGTCCAAGAAACTCCAAACTCGCCACATAGACTGGAGTGGTAATTGCAATACAAAAGAGATGACCCTCTTTATGGGACCAATTATAGGGTTCTTTCAAGTAGCAATCCTCCATTTCTAATAAAGCATTCACCCACCCAAGCTGGAAGAACACTTTCCAGGAATTCCTCTGCTTCATGAAATGAGGCCCGTGAAGATCGCCCTCTAAAGGGACATCCGCACCCACCGGTCCCCTCTGCCCCCTCACGCTCTTTCTTAAGACAAGGAGGACACGAAATGCCATCAGCATTCTTTACGCT